TGAGATATTGTAGGATTTGTAACTCCCAATTAAAATATTTGGAAGTTACATAAGAATGACTAATGACCTAAATACCCTTATCATTAATATGTAAGTTACATTTTAACCAAACCCAAAGATGCAACATTATTGGTTGATGTGGGTTAGCAAAGTTTGCACAAAATATTGGGTTAGTATTTGAACCACCCTCTATATATATATATATATATATATATATATATATATATATATTGATGGAAGTTAAAACAAGAACATTTTTATCTACAAAAAATATAGAAACATCCTTATCACATGCGATACCACACATGAAGGGACCAGGTGATGTGCGAACGACTTGGCCCGCAACCTAGGTCACGTTAAAGGTTGTCCACATCTCTAATTTGGTATCACATATATGTTTTTATATGTGATAGATTATAGTATCACACTGGGACACCCTTATCATATGTGATAATACACGTGTGAGGGTCTAGCGGTGTGCACGCAATTTGATCAACCTAGGTCACGCCAAAATGAAGTGTCGCTTTATATAACCACACGTATGAAAATGAAGTGTTTATACAATTTCTTTTTCATATGTGAAACATTCAAGACTATTTCTTTCCATACACAACACTTTTGAACATTTTAAATATGAAACAACACTGCAGAAACACTGCATTCTTACACATGTTGTTTCACATGAAAACTAGTTTATAAATTTATTACAATATTATTAAATTTCGTAAATTAGTGACTAAAACGACTATTTCTGTTAATTTCGTAAATCTTACGATGATCAATTGGCACAATTTTATTGATTTATATGGTTTGTTGTAGAGGTGAATTTACTTTGGAAACTTAAATTTGTACAACTACTCTAAATTTGTCCAATTATAAAATCCCACATGAATTTTTCCATGATCAACTTGAGGGTTTCTTTAAGATTGGAAGCGTAGCTCTCTCACATGCATCAACACCACCAATTGCTACCATATATCCAAATCATATTTATTTCCAGTGGTGCTTCTCTCTTTCAACTACCCATAAAAAAAACACATAATCTATAGGTATTTCTATTTATTATAAAATTATAGTTTTCGTCGCTTAAATTCCAACTAAATCATTATTGGTAATAAGACAAGATGCATGGTTTGTTTCAAATTATTGTATGAATTAGTGGGTGTTTTTTAAGCATTTGTAACATCTCATGATCTTATTTGTATATAAACATATAACTTTATATATATGAAGAAATATAATTTACACATTCGGTCTCAATATCTTACAAGAGCTATATTACAAAATCGATAACAAATCTTTCCACGGAATCTCTATAGAAGACATGAATACATGACAAGTATTCAGATAGAAAAGAAGATTATGCTAGCTCAATAATCCATGTAAGTATAATATAACACTTCACAATTTTCCATTCCCCTTGTCAACTGGTTGTGGCCGACCTGTAATGCACATTTTTAAAACACAAAATAAGGGTTAGACCTTGAGGTCTAGTGAGAAATATCTTTGATGCTATTATAGGGTGAAAATTACCAGATCACGTTTATGAACTCATATTTGTAATAATAACAAATATACATCATTTTGATGTCGCATCAAAATAGTCAAATAACTTGATAAACTAATTCTGAGTAAATTTGTCGCATCATATAGATGAATGTATAACTTCTCACATGACATGATGAGATAATTTCATTTCCTCACAACACACTGGTGCGAGGACCACAACTCATCGCATCATATTGATGCGATAAACCCAACTTGTCACATCACACAAGTGTGATAAGTCAACTTGTCGCATCACAAGGATGCAACAAACTCATTTCACACATCATATAGGTGGAATATACACATTTCATCGCATTAATAGGATGCGATAACTCTAAGTTTGTTGCATCCTTGTGATGCGACAAGTTGACTTATCACACTTGTGTGATGTGACAAGTTGGGTTTATCACATCAGTATGATGCGATGAGTTGTGGTCCTCGCACCAGTGTGTTATGAGGAAAACCCTCAACTTTATATGACTTTTAACTGAAGAGTTTTTCAATTTAAAATTTAATCAGAGGATAAAATGGACATGTATCCATAATTGGGTACAAAACTGACATAAAATTGAATGATGATGGTATTTTTATAATGGCATATTTTTTTAAATGATGAAAGATCGTGTAAGAATATTAATTAAAGTAAGAAGCGTAGGGATTTAGACATTTGATCATTTTTAATCTCACTTACCCATAAATTATGTTTTTCATGGAAATTGATCTGGTGCACCTTATTAAGGTTGATCTTTAATTAAGATTGATCTAATGATGAAGCTCTCTTATTACTATAACTTCGGTTATCACCGAAATCTAACCTTTATTTACATTTTATAAAATTTGATCACCTTGTATATAATTATTTTAGTTTTATTTTGATAAGACCAAGGTGATGTTTGGTTTGCAGAATATTTTTGGATAGAATGTAATATGTTAAAGGGAATTTGACTTCGAAGGAATTGAAATGGAATGTTCCACCTGTTTGGTTGACAGACATTGAAATGGAATTTGTTTAAAGAATTGGAATCTGTCTGTTTGGTTCACAGAATGTAGTTTTGGAATTGGAATGAAATATTGGAAAATGATCAAAATGCTTTTTTTGAAAATTTTAATTTTTCTAAAATTATAAATACTTTAATAAAATAATTATTTAATATGTAAAAAATATATAAAATACACAACCCAAATATAACCATAAGCCAAACAACGTTACTAAATCAACGGTGGTCGATGGTGGTTCAGATTGATGGTGGTCTCTAGTGGTTCAGAGTAATGGTGGTTCGCGGTGGTTCAGATGGATGGTGGTTCAGATCAATGGTGGCGGCGGTGGTTCAGATTGGTAGTTGTTCAAATTGTTGGTGGTCGGCGGTGATTCAGATTGGTGGTAGTCAGCAGTGGTTCAGATCGGTGGTAGTCCGTAGTGTTTCAGGTGGTGGTGGTCGGATGTGGTTCAGATTGGCGATGGATCATATTGGTGGTTGTTCAGATCGGTGATGGTCGGCGGTGGTGCAAATCGATGGTGGTCGGTGGTGATTCAAATGGTGATGGTCAACAGTGGTCTAGATCGGTGGTTCAGATGGCGGTGATCAACAGTGGTTTTAGATCGAAGGTGGATTAGATCGGTAGTGGTTGGCGGTGGTTCAGATCAGCGGTAGTTCAGGCCAATGGTGGTCGACGGTGGTTCATATCGGTGGTGGTTGGACAATGGTTCCGATGACGATGATTGACGGTGGTTCAAACGACGGTGGTCGACAGTGATTTAGATCGATTGTGGTCATATTGAGTTTTATGAGATTATGATATATTGGGTTAATAACATAATTTTATATTATTAAAATAGAGAATTTCATTCCATCAAAATACCATGTAGTTGCTAAGGAATCTTAAATTCCTTTATTTGTAGAATTTACAGAACTTTGAAGATTCCTTTCACGAAAAAGAATAAACCAAACGAATGAATGAAATTTGTTAAATAAAATTCAACATTCCAATTTCTTCAGAATCTAGGAACCAAACGTCCACTAAAAAATAAGATTGTGATAATGATAAATAAATTTGGATAATAAAGAGAAGTCGGCGGCTTTAGCAGCGTGCAAAGTTGGTGAAATGAGTTGGATTTCTTGTTTTTAATTTTGCCAACATCATTTAAAAATATATTTACCAAATTAGGTAACTTCTTTCCTTGTATTTTTCATATTATTATTAATATAATATAATATAATATGCAATATGCATTGTTGTGATTTTACTAGAAGAATTGAATAATTCATACAACATTGCTATTACGTATTTTATTTCAGAATATACTTCCCTCTAAAGTTTGAGAATATTAATGTTTCTAATATTATACGCGACTGATAATTTGTACAAGACGTCGGAATTTTTTATTGTGGTCTGGAAATTATTGTATTCTGTTCGCTGACAAAAGCTCCAAAATATTTTAATTTTAATTTTAATTTATTTAATTGTGAATTGATCAAAAATTAATGTTTGCTCAAAATAACTTACAGGTCGAGTGTTTGAATGATGTAATATTATACATTAAAATTACTGATCTTGAAAAAATATAGAGGAACTCCTCAAGTAATTGTTTTTTCCATCGACCGATTGGATATTGACCAAACAAATTCTCGTAGGATGCAAACAGGAAATCTAGATTAGTTTGACGTAATTTATGAAACAGTGGAAAGAAAAACAAAATAGAAAGCGACAAAATTGACGTAAAGAGAAGTGTTGGACCATAATAAGTACGACATCAAGCAAGCAAAGCCAAGCAACTTGTTTCGAACGAGAGATGGGTATGTCTCCTCATCTAATTTGGTTGTATGTGGCTCCGTACATAAAATGCCCATCAATGCATCTACGTACCTATAAAACTAAAACTAAAACAGTCTAGATTTATTCATGTGGGTTCATGCCACGTATGTTTCTAAGAGTGTAATGTTCACGCCAACGGATGCAAACAAATGTGTCAAACGGTCTTTGACATAGTGGTATGAAAATTACCAATAAAATTCAGTTTTTCAAAAATGAAAGGTTCAAATTTTATCAGAGATAAGAAAGTTATATGTAGTATGAGTTCATTTACCATATATAAGATATTATATATTCAAAAAAAAAAAAATACAGACAAGTCGTAGATGCATGAAATTAACACCGGTGTGTAGTGTGTTGGGTAATTTGAACAAATCTTAGTTGGCTTCTTTTATATATATAGATAGAGAGAGCGATTGGTTTAAATGTTAATCCAAACTATTGTGTTAATTTTGTTAACCATTTTTAACCAATCGCAATACATTTTAGTATTAGGTTCATATCCATCTTAAAATTTAATGACAAAGGTACATATGTAATTTTCTTTTTTTATGTAACTCTTATATCATTAATTGGGAGTTACAAAATCATAAAATCTCATGATTTGTGTTAACTTATTATTAATCTTGTTATTTTTTTTAATATTGATTTTCTATCTCTAATGTTTATGAATTTGTGATTGGTGGAGTAGACCTGATTGTAAAGTTTTCAATATTGTTCAAATTGACATATACAAAAGATGATGAACATGTGTGATTATATGAACACAAATTCACATATGAGAACCTTCGTACAACCATATAAACACAACTCGACATATATGAACCATTGTGTCAATTACGAACATAAATTGACATATATGAACACTTGTGTCAATTACAAACACAAATTGACATATATGAACACTTGTGTCAATTANAAATTGACATATATGAACACTTGTGTCAATTACAAACACAAATTGACATATATGAACACTTGTGTCAATTATGAACACAAATTGACATATATGAACACTAGTGTCAATTATGAAAACAGATTGACCTATATATACAGTTGGTATAAATATGAACACATACTGACACAAATGAACATACGAAAGATGATGAACATGTGTGACCATATGAACACAAATTCACATATATGAACATTCGTACAACCATATGAACACAACTCGACATATATGAACTCTTGTTTATGAACACAAATTGACATATATGAACCCTTGTGTCAAATACAAACATAGATTGACATATATGCACACTTGTGTCGTTTACGACTTTTTTCTATATACACTCATGTTCACACATGAACAATTCCCATAAATATCAAATATCTGTTCACATATGAACCATTAACAAAATAAAACTGTAGAAGAATCTAGTGTCGGAGATCTTGCTGTTGGTTTTGATTCGATGACGAGATTAATTCCCAGATAGTTACATTGTTATTAATGGACAGCTACAAAACATCTCATTGTCATTAATAGACGGTTACAAAATATCTCATTGTCATTAATGGACAACTAAAATCTTTTCCCAAAATACCATTGTAAATATTGTTCACTTATGTTACCTTGTCTATGTGTACAATTAATTACACTTTATGTTATGAATGATCTTTGTCACAAATTTCAAAGATCAATGGTCAAGATTGATTAACAAAGTTAATACAATAAACTTGGTTTAATATTCGAACCAGCCTTTATTTATATATATATATATATATATATATTTATAGATATGTGTTTTTATATTCAAGTAGTTTATTTTGAAATCATTACTATTAAAATACAATAATTTGGTGCATATATAAAACCAGTAGCCCGTGTGAAATAATTCCACCGAATATCAGACTTGTTGCCAATTGTGCCACACTTGTCCATATTTATTCTACTTAATTCATCAACCTTTTCTTCATTCATTTTGTTGTTTCCTATACACACCTAAATTACTCTATGTCTATCCCCTCCTCTTCATTCTTTGTTTTCCAAGCCATTAGTGTTTAAAAACTCTTTTGGTCCCATTTGGGTTGTAGGATTTGGAGGAATTTGTAATTCAATTTCATTTCAATCTCATGTTTGGTTTGAAAGATTGTTTGGAATTAAGCTAAAAAACACACTCACCAACTTTATAAGGCCTTTGATCCTCCTTAAAAACACACTCACCACTCTTTGACAACAAATAGAACAAGGCCCAGTTTTGGTCCTGAGCTTTTTTATAACCGATCTTGCTTTGCTACATTACGGTTTTCGTCAAGCAAGATCAAAAATTGAAATTTTCTGAGATTCGATGAATTCACGAGAAAGTTTCTGGGAACGAACGACAAAACAAAACTTTCATGGTCAACAAAACAAAATGAAACCAGGAAATCTTTGCAAGATTTATAGGAGGATATGGAGAGTAGAAAAACTCAGCTAAGTTGTGGTCTTTGTCTCGGGTGCTACAGCAGCAGCTTTCACGTAGAGTGGGTGAAGTACATGGCCTTCTTTGGGTTCAACGTGCACCCACTTGCGTCCACTCAGCTTGTGCCGTTCAAACTTGACACATCCTTCTTTTAGAGCGTAGAGTGTATGATCTTTGCCCATTCCAACATAGTCTCCTGGGTGGAACCGAGTGCCTCTCTGTCGTACTATGATATTCCCAGGTATCACTCTCTGAATCATCAACAAAAAACTACGTGAAATATGGCACAAAAAATCTTCAAATAAAGAGCTCAATCAATGTAAAATGACTTTGTGGTCCACTCTCTTCCTCACAAGGGTTTCTATAGAAACCAACCAACCAATGCACCCAGTATCTCCTACCCAGAGATGGAGTCCGCCCTTAAAGAGTAGAGAGTTCGTTTCCATAAAGACCCCCGGCTAGTAAAAAGTATGAGAAATGGAAAAATAGCAGATACGCTAGATATTGAAAATGTGATGTGAATAAGCAATCGCGGTACACGTAGGAATAGAGATAGAGAAACACAAATGTGTTAAATCTTGAGAAATAATAAATCCACCACAAGATGAGGAGGTGAACCTAAATTCCATAGTGGGACTATCTAGTGCTGAAAGAATGAAGATGGAAGGGGTAGAGGAACAAAAAGTAGTGGTGTTAATGATAATGGGTATCATAGAATTTTACATCTATTACATTATTGGAGAAACTGGGTTTTCAATAAAAATGATAGAAGAATATAACATCTTCATGGGAGCAACAAGTGAGGCTGTAAAGGCAAAAGGGCAAGGTATATGAAAAAAGTGATTGTATGGATGCAAAGAGTTGAAGTGTTGGAAAAAAAATTCCTACCAATTAACCCCCAGAAAACTCTAACGGGATTACGGGAGTTCAGTGGTTGGCAACGTTTTGGAGTTGCTTTTATCGGCAAACCAAAATGGTGAAGAGGAAGATGGGTGAAAGTTCCTTAACTTTGAGGGGAGATCCATTGTTTGGGAAGATTTGTTGAAATTTCCATTACCGCCTCAAAGGCATTAAAAAGAAAGGGTGACATGGCAAATGAAACTCCCCGAGGTGTTTGTTAGGGAAGTAGGTGAAATGAATGAAAGGGTTACAGATGCTCTAAATGTCATGAAGGCGGTTGTTGATGAAGGAATCATATCAAGTAGTGGTGTTGCTCTTCTTAATGTATTAATGAGTCGGATAAGTTGTGAAATGCGAACAACCAACTTGGATCAGAGAGTAGGGTTATAGATAATTCAGAATGCACTAAAGATGCTACAATTGCCTCTAATGCAGTTGGGTGGGTGGGACAACATTTATGGTGCAATTCGTACTATGCAAGAGAGCAGGGGTCAACTAGATGAAGATATATATGAACTACAAGAAATCTTATTACAGAGTCCAGATAATTAAACAACTTATTTGAGAGTGTGCAAAGTGGATTTGACTGAATTGGAGCATAATGAAAGATGGAAGACTTCTTGGCACAAACAATACAAGTTTACGGAGTTTTGCTTGAAGTTTCATTGGAAGGATTTATCTTCTCTTACAGACCTTAGGGGAGAGTTTATGCCTTGGCTTCAAACCAACTACCCAATGCAAGAAAGAAAATGGTTAGATGCTTCTCGACTTGCAAACCATGACAGTTGGGTTGGGGTCAACTGCTCATCAAAAAGGAATTTGAATTTTAGGGATAGGTTTAAGCTGAATTGGAAGGGTTTATGTACACAAGAAACTTATGGGAGAAATATCTTATGAGGCATAATCAATTTCTTTTCTCTTCTTTCCACCTTGAGGACAGGTTGAATGTTGGGGGTGGGTATACCTTTGAGTCAGCAAGTCAATATAACCCACAGTAAGGGGAGTGCAAGTCGCTAATGCATAGACAGTACACGTAGGTAACGCAGGGGTAGTAATAAGTCAGTGCACTGTGATTTGCAAGCATAAAAATGGCAGCGTAGGTTCAGGAGTTGTGTTTTGTTTTCTGTGTTTTATTAAGGCGAGAGCCTGTGGAGAGAACCTGGCTTCTCACAAGCAAAGAACCTTGTAATGATTCGATTATGAGCGAGTACTTCCTATCCCTACCTTTAATTTGCTAATAAAACACAGTAATGTACATAACAAAAAACAAAGGGCCTTTGGCCTAGCATTATCAGAGCGTTTGGCCTCCTAGGACGTCAGGGGTTCAAACCTCACGAAACGTGAGGAGGGTGTGTGAGTTTATTTGTTGTTGTATATAAATATTATAGGCTTCAAAAAACTGTACATCAAAAAACATGATCTATAAAAAGTTGGATGATCTTGACAAGTCAAAAACTAAAATACCTATTAACTACACTCGTGACTATTCTTATGTTGGATTGAATGGGTTCACAAAAACGACTTTAAATTTAGAAATCTACGAGGAAGCTAACTGAGAGGAGCATGTTTGAGAATGATGTTTACACGAGAACTCACCTCACCACCAAACTTCTTCACTCCAAGATTCTTGGGTTTCGAATCACGTCCATTCTTAGTGGACCCTGCTGTTTTTTTGGTGGCCCAACGTCTGAACATCATGCTTAATCCATCTCCAGTTACATCTATGATTCAGTAAAATCAAGAACATGTTACGAGAAGTACAAGCAGCAACATGAAAATCAATTATGCAAAAATGTTGAAAGTGTAAGGAGAGCTATACCGCTTGCAGAACTGTAGACAGGAATTCTCGTAACCAAGTCACTAACAGTCAATCTCCTACACAAGGAAGCTGCAAAATTCATCGTCCCCTTTTACGTAACTCAAACCTGTAAGCAAATCAAATTCAAAAAGGCTTTGAAGATTATGAGAACATCAACTGGACCAGATCATCAATCTCAGCTAACCGCTAGACAAGTTACTGGAAGTGACTAAATAATCTAACCATAAACACCTCTTACAACAAAAAAAATGAAAGTCCACACACAAGCACACCAGTCGAATTAGTTATGCTGAGGAAAATATACGTAATACACAATTTGATCATTGAAATATAAGTTGCGTACACAAAACATCTGAACTATCTAGGTTGAAAAACAGCAAAGTATTTGAAATCATCAGGTGCGACTTATTTCTGTAAACATTATACAGTCAGCCATTGCCAGGGAATTCATTTTCTATTTTGACACAAGCAGACATCATAACTTAAACAAGCGACCTGACAGTTGGTTAGTTGTTTGGACTTTGGACACAGAAATGCTACAATGGCAGAAATATATACCAAGAAAAAGAAAACAAAGAACACACCACCACCAACGATATTTTTCATGACAGAAACTTCACTAGGACATACAGTTACTCCACCTGTACCACAATAATAATATCAATTTTCTTTAATGGATGTCCCATGAAAAACTGCAATAGATACTTGTTTACAAATTTCAAGCAAAATTGTTAAAGCTAATTGCTTTCATCCACAAGATCACTTGGTTTTCCCATTACTCCTATACACATTTTTACTCCTTTTTTACTTTTGAGATTCTTCTCTTCTTATCTCCTATAGTTCATTCACGCTTTCCATCCACCACTTCCTCCTTTATCTACTTCTAACATCCCAATTTCATAGAGTTGTTTATACATATCAAAATAAGTTAAGAGTAAAGAAAGAATCAACAAAATGCAGTCACTGCACGAGTTTTCAGCAAGACCAACCAAATGCACATGATGTCACGTAGAGATCACCACATGTACAGTTGTACACTACCATTCTAGTGACATTTAAGCGCATTTCTGGACATGTACGACAATTTCATCTGCTACTTGAATAGATGCTATTGAAAATCTACTAATTGGTGGTCGACTGTCTAGTCCCTCAAATCTAGTTTAAATTACAATTAGCAAGAAGACCAGCATCTACATTTGTGAAGAAGGCTTATAGTATTATATCTTAAAAATAATTTCAAGATTAGTGTCCTATAATATAGGACCTTAAATTCAAAAAAAAGAAGAAACACCTCAATTTACAAGTTTGCATCTTACATTAGTTCATGAAGAAACCACAAATTTCATTGAGAGAAACATACAATGATTGGATCAAATTGATGAATCTGAACCTTGAAAGATTCTCCAAGACAAAGGACGTTCCAGATTTTTTTCAGTGGTTGCACAAAATAATTACCACACTATGACATAAAATAAAAATTAATAATAAAAGAGTATGGTTTCATTAAACACGACACACATGATACACCTCCTACAATTGTTCTCTATCACTCGTCATCTTCTGGAAGCGGTTAATTACATCTTCATTTGTAACATTGACGAGTGCTTCTTTTTCTATGCCACAAATGATTGTAGCATTCCAAAAACACTAATCAAGAATTGGAAAACATTTATACTGTTATTAAGCAGATTGTAAACAAAATCCTAACCATAAAAATTGTAAACAAAACAATATTCAATATCTGTCTACTTAATATCAGGCATAAAAACAATTGAAGAATTGAGGCTCAAATGAACAATTCATAAGTGAAGAAAGTGTAAACAGGGGAGGATCCAGGCTCAAATGAACAATTCAAATGTGAAAATTGAAATGGCTGTAAATAGGGGTGGAGCCAGGATTTATATACAGGGTGGTCCTCTTAACTTTTAAATGTTATTATGTAAATTAGTCAATCACAAATACACAACCCTACTCAACCCATACAAGAACAACACAATCTTTTAGGACAACACTAAAAAGAGGTAACTTTGAATGCATATTACTAGAAGGAGTGAGCACAAGATACAATAGGATACACAAACAATTGACTCAGATTAATCATATATAGTCATATACCTGCAATAACCTTGAAACAACTTATACCTACAGAAAATTTATTCCCGCAATCTCTTTCTCGGGTAAGTTTTATTGTGTTCAAGAAAGACAGAATGTTACCTGAGGCGGCAAGCCGCTTTATTGCCCTATTCTGAATAGAACTGGAGCCAACTTTGACCAAGCCCAAGTGTAGTGTTTCCTATACCTTTCCAACAAGGATTCCGAAAGATTGAACAAGTTCATGTTAATTGTTATCCTGGTTAATTTATAAAAGGGAACCACTTTCGTCTGAGCCTTTGTGCAATAACTACATTTCTTCTAGACATTTCATCGAACACTTTTCAGGCACTCCCCACATCGCCACACTTAGTCACCAAGGGTTCAAATTAGCAACATCCTCAACTAACTTATTTATGTACCTTATCTCAAACTTAGTTTCAAATTCTCAGCAACACACGAAAGAAGAACCCTTATCTCGAACTTAGTTTTAAATTCTCAAAATTTATGCTCCCAAATCCAAACTAAATGCGTAAACCGTAATCACTAGTGTCAAAATTTTGGAGGATGGAATCTGACACAACAAAATCATTCAAGATAACAGAAGCATATTCCAAACATGTCAATTACTCAAGTATAAGTATAAGGAGCGATTACTGAAGGAAACCTATAAATCTTCAACTTACCAAGAGGGGAGAGGCAGAGTAGCAACAGCCAACAACAGGTCGCCGGACGACAAGTGAACGCTGTTTCCTAAGTGCGTGAAGTCGGGATCGGGATTTGTGACAGGGTGAGAGCCGGTGAGTCCGTGTTGAGGAGGGTGGGCCTCCAATTGGATCTGAGGGTGTCTGGGCTGACCATGGGGCATGGGTTAATGTTGAGACTTTCCTTTCCTTTTTACTCCATCTGGTTCTAACTTAAAGCCTCCATGTGTTGTGTTGTTTGGAAGTTTTTGAATGGTTTGATGTAAAATAATTAAGTTGTCAGAATAATTAAGAGGCTTTCATGATATAATGCAAAATGAAATATGATTGTTTAATAATTGTTTACGATAAAATCAGAATGCTTAATGGTTAAGGGAGGCTTAGGATACAAAATCATTCAAATGGTTTTAGAACATTAAGAGACAGATTTCTTTTTGCCAAAGAACATTCACCGGCTCTAAGTATGTATTTACTTTTTTTTATTTTATTTAATTATATAAAATAAATTTTTAATTAAAAAGATTAATAATTATGTATTTCCACCTTCATGATTAGGATATTGTAGTTTTAAATGTTACACTTACCTATTTGTTTTTACAAGATTTGTAATTCCAAAAAATTAAAAGACTATCAAAATATTTTTTATTTTGAATTGTTTAAACAAAATGTTGTAAAACATTGTTGGATATTTGAAAAAGCTCAATATTTGGTTTTATAAAATATTTTAAATGATTGAAGATTGATTAAAAAAAAAACTTTATTGAAATATAAATCGTCATAATATCTCCAACATATTCTTCATTTGAAAGAACACATAAATTATACACATTTTTTTATTCCAACGGAATCTCCAAAATAGATAAAGCATGAGAAAATATGTGAAATTCTTTAAATTTAGAAAACTCTTCAAAAATAATTATCACGAGAGAGAAATAATATTTTACTATATTCTTACCTATAAGAAATCTTGATGTTGAATATTTATGAGATAAATATTTTTACTACATGTATAAATATTTTAATAATATAATTAATCGTATAATCTTTAAAATAAAAAATATGTTAAAGTCAAATATATTCTCTTTTTAAATATTTTGAGTTCTAATTGAAAAATTAAAAAATCTGTCGAAAATACTTATATAATTTTATAAAATGAAAGAAGTAGCCAATGAGTTTTATATTGAAATGATATAAGACTCAACAATAATTAAAAAACTAAATAAAAACATACCTATTTCGTTCTCATTTTAGTGTAAGATTTATACAAACATAATTGTTAAAAAACAGTAGATATATTTATTTTTGTACTATAATATTTTTTTACTTCATGTATTTTCTTGTTAAGTAATTTTCTTTTTGAAGTTTTTTGATTTTATTAACCAATGCTTTTTAAGAACAACAATTAATATCACATAGACGTCCCTCCATTGATCACTTTACTCAAACAATAAAAGTACTAAGAACAACATCAAATAATATAAGTGATCTAGTTCCAGATTTCGGTTTCTTCAGACAATAGGCAAAAGTCACTATACCGATAAATAACATTTTCAGCTATCAAAATCTTCTCCTTCACTTATCAGATAAGTTTTGAATGCTTGTCATATTCACTCGGTAAGTTAATGACATCCAATAAGTGCTTAACCGAGAAACCTTTGGTAAACAGCCCTTGCTGAATTTGTAACAATATTGTTCAGCGTCAATTTAAGGTGGAGAACTTGAGTTCTAGTTTTCATTTGTGACCATCGTCATGTCATGCCATGAACAACCATATGATATTTTTGAAGAAGACGAGATATTATTATATACCGAAAAGCTAAATAATCGACACAGAACTTACATTGGACATTTCAAAAAACATAAGTTAACCATAGAAGTTCATACTAACTTTTTCTTCAACCATATTAATTAAACAGACATATGCCAATTGCCAGATTATCATCTAAAATTGGCCGGCTTTAATGAGGTGTTTGATTATTAGAAACTAAACACAAAGAAAACACGTAACCACACATCTAGGTAAAAAGTTGATTACCGTAGATAATTATTATCATCATTACTCTCTACCTCTAACCACCATATTGGAGGCTTTTTCGTTCTTCATAATGGCATGAAATAGAGAAGCTCGATCCTCCTCCACTATCTCCCTCAACAACTCATCTTCAATCTTTGGTGCTTGCCAATGAGATGGATCTTCCACCAATTCCTCACTAAATATCATACTCGACACCCACTCTTTCCAAGTAGTTCTACTGTGTTTCTCTTCTTCCAGTGTCCCAGTTGCAAGTAATTGATACACGTAGACCACCTTATCTTGACCCGGGCGAAAAGCTCGAGCGATCGCTTGTTTGCTTTTCGAAGGATTCCATTCCGAATCCAACAAGATCACCCGTGAAGCCGCTGTCAAACTGATTCCTTCAGCACAAGCATTAATGGAAGCCAACATCACTTTTGATGGTCCTCCGGGCTCTTCGAATTTATCCATCACTCGTCCTCTTTCGAAGAGTTCGAGTTCTCCTTGAAGGACGAGTACTTCTTCACCTTTTTTCCATCCGTAGAACCGATCGAATGTTTCCAAGAACAGATTGATTGGAGCGATGTTGTGGCAAAAGATGAGGACTTTTTCTTTTCTGAGTAGACAACGAGGGACTAAGCTCATAACGAATCTGACTTTCGACCCGAGTTTGAGGTCGAACTTGAGTCTATCAAGTGCTTTTAGTTCCTCCTCTTTGAAATACTGGCTTGCACATGCGGTAGTTTGTATCAACCACGGATGTATTGAGCCCAGCGTGATCAAAAGTTCGAGTTCCAGAGGAAAACCTTTGTAAACGGGTCTTTGATCTTGAAGTTTTAGCAGGATGTCTTGCTGAATGGTGGTTGATTTCATCATCAGAGTGTAACATTGCAACCCAGGAAGGTTTTCAGCACTCCCACCTTCGTAGTTGTCGATAAACCTGCTAGTTAAACTTCTTAGAATGCTCAACCCCTGTTGTCTATCCTTTGGAACATTTGAGTTGATTTGCTCTGCTATTTTGATAACAAACAGCTTTCTTGCCCTGTTTTCGAGCGAAAACTTGGAAAGAACTCCTTTCTTTCTCCTCTGGAATTTAGGATCGAGTTTCTTGAGTACCTCGGTGACGAATCGCGGTCTGGCTAAGGTGAGAGTGTTGAAATATTCACCGAAATTGTTCTGAAAAAGGGTGCCGGATAGAAGTACTCTTAATGGGGTGTCTACTTTCATCAAGGCTTTCCTTAGTCTCGATTTGGTACTTCTCGGGTTATGGCCTTCATCGAGGATCAGGATTCCGGGGCACTGGCGAAGGACTTTGGCCATGTATTGCCGGTGAGCGTAGTTCGAATCTTCACGGGTGAGTGTTAGAAAGGAAGTGTAACCCATGAGGAGGACACTTGGACTTGTGAGCCATTTCTGAATTTTCTCTAGACAGTCTAAAACATGCATCACATCTTGGTTGCGAGGAAGACCGGGAGCTAGTTTCAGTTTGTTTCTTAGAACTTGTTCTCTGTATGTCTGACCACCGTGGATTTGGTACACCGGAATTGGGATCTCCCATTTGATGATTTCTTTGTACCAGGTGTACAGAGTTGTTTTTGGAGCAAGGACTAATGGTCGGGATCCAGGAAACAGTTTCAAGTAGCTGACGAGAAATGAGATTATGAGTAATGTTTTCCCGGCTCCTGGAGTGTGGGAGATCACACAGCCACCTCTTCTCTTACTGGCTGCTTCCATTTCTGAGGGTACTATATCGCCAGCAAGATTTCGCCATAGAAACTCGAATGCTCGTTTCTGATGAAATCGTAGCTTGTCTCTAAGATTGGGTATTAGAGCCCACACGTTTTCTTTCCCATCTACAACCATGTTGGATGAAGCAGGACGGCATACGATTTCAAGGCGTGTGTCTACATTTTCCTTATTCTGCTCTGCATCATCTTCTGCACGGGTTTCTTTGCTAGGCGTCCACACGACGCCGGGCAACTGTAAAATCATACAACCATAACAAAATTGAAAATCTTAATATAATTTGAGCAAAAGAAGAGTATCAATCTAGACCATAAATCAAATAGAAACCTGCTAAAAGTAAGAAAATTGTGAAAACAAATTTATGTATTGTTTCGTAGGTGAAACAACACATGTGAAAATCAACTCCGTGAATCAACCAAAACCATCAATGAGTCTGATTTTTAAGCTTTGATTCACATGTTTCTTCTTGTGTGTGAGTATGAGTGTGTGTTTCATGTATAAATGTATTTATATGTTCTTTTCACATGCAAAACTTCATCTATGAAACAACACAGTATGAACTCTTATGTTCACATGTGTTATTTACAAGCTGGTTTTTACGGTTTATAACTTGACAGTTTCTATTTGATTGCCCCCTATCAATCTATCTATCAAGGATGTGAGATAACTTGGTCTGAAAAAGAATAACACACAAGCATGGATGAAGAATCAGGGATTCCCAAGTTTAACTTACAAAGGCCGGTGAGACGTCTTTTATTTCAGACCTCACATGACCACATAATCGGCAGATGATTCCAAATTGTTCGTTGAGTCTGTAATCATGTCTACACTTCTGCTCCTGGGTGTTAGATTTTTGCATTAAATCATGGGAACCCTGAAAAAAATAACTGGAATGTCAATATACCACAACTGGAACTCAATATAAAGGGAAATTGTCTAAAATAGCCATTTTTGACTCCTAATTACTTTATAGCCCCTTTTTCACATAATTAACTGAAATCGCCAAGATTTCAGAAGTTGCAGTTTAGTAACTTATAAACTATTGCCTTTCTATTACCCGTTTAGCAACTTATACCTCTCAAAGCAGCAATAATAATGCTTCATTACAAAAAAATGACATTTGAGTGTATCAACTTCTAAATTGACATAAGATAATTTTTCATAGTAAAAAAGATATGTAGGGTGGTAGAGCAGAAATCATACCTCTGATTCCTCCATAAGATATGTGGTGGCCAGTGCTAATTCCATCTCCTTCCACAACATTTCAAGTTCTTTTTCTTCTGTCATCTCTTCGTCTTCGTCTTCTTCTTCTTTTACAGGTACCTCATTATTCTCCCTTTCCTCCAATGATTTCCCAATTTGAAACTTGTTCCATTGATCAATCACAGCTGGCTGTTCTATGTTGATTGATGCATCTATATTCCTCATGCATCTGCTCATCAATTCTCTATAAACACTTGCACAAACAGATTTTCTAAAAGAAGTCCTTGCATCATAAATACTCTCCTTCCCAGAAGAACCCCGCTTTTTACGGCCTCGTTTATTTGTTACAGGTAATCCCTTCCATCCACCATCAAAGTCAGATTGGGGAGCTTTATATTTTCTTTTATGGATTTTGGAAGAACCATGCATTTTAAAATACTTGGCCCATATGTCACTAATTTCCCCTCCTTCATCGTCAGAAATTTCAGCCTTATAAGAATCAGCATATATATACGGCCTTGAAGAATGACCTTGAGAAGCCGTAGAAGGAGGGTATCGTTGTTCACCTCGATCTTGTATGTAGGGGACTTCTGTTCTCACCTCCTTTGACTTGCTTGTATCATTCTGCCTTCCAAGATAACCCTCTTCTTTGTATATTTTCCTGAAGTAATCCAATTTATTTTCATCTTTGAAAGAATGATCATCTTGGATTGATAACACGATTGGGACTTCCTCGAATTTGGATCTGTTTGGTCTGTATAATCCAACACGAGATAAATCAACTTCTGACTCGGACACATCATCATCACCCATATAGCGCTCAGGTTGGATATTTCTACGCTTTGACCGACGCAAGCCCATGAGATCGTAGTTGGTTGTTGAAGCAATTTCATCAGCACCACAATTAGGTGTCTTTTCCTCTTGGGATTCTGTTTGACTGAATGGGACAAGGAAAGGAATGGAAATACCATTTTCTAATCTGAAGTTAATAGCACTTGAATGGTTTTCAGAATCTGGCAAACTCTTTTCACCATCACCATCCCAAATTTGATACACAATCTGGTTGTCAACTGACCTCACATCGAAAACAAGTTGCTTGAAGACAGATGCAACAATTAACCATGAGATATCCGAGGAGAACTTTCCGGTAAATAGTTTAAATATACGACGTGAAGCGCAGTCTTCAGAAAGGTTCCAGCGATATTGGTTATTTTCACTAGGCTTCCCTTCAAGCTTCTGAAGAATTGAGATCTGATCAATGTGTACCAGTTTGGTCTCTTTATTAACAGCTTTCTTGATCATGCCAGCAGGACCTTGCTTCAGATAGATGCTGACATAGAACTCACAGGCACATTTATCTTCTTCGTGAGGCTTCCTCTCTAGTGAGGTTATCTTAGCATCAATCCAGACCTGTAAAACATAATTTGTGCAAAATTTTGTTTCTTAAATAGGTATCCATATTAGTACCCATATGATTAAACAAACTTGACAAAATTTGGTCATGGTGAAATCAGTTGCACAAAGTACTACAAAGACAATTTGCATTCACAAAGTGCAGCCACACACACAGATCTACTCACAAACATGTAAAATGATGCCACAGCCTCATCTCTAATCTTGCAAAATAGGTAGAGTAGGAATTTTCCGTTCAAAAATTCATTCTGTTACTTTAGTACAAGTAAATAAGAAGAAGAAAGTCATACATTAGGCCACTTATATTCGACTACAAAACGACTTACAGGATTTAGATTCTTGTCGTTTGATTCTTCTTCTGCTGCTTGATAAGGAGCATGCACACAAACATCTATCCCAGGTCTCAGGAAGCACGTGCAATCCATTAAAGTTGCTTTTCTTGAGGTTATTCGAAGGTCTGACATGGGAATGGTTTCTTCAGTTGTATCCCCTTTATTTATGATAAACATGCTAACAACTCCATTTCTGATTCTTAAGCGCTCCACAGGTATCCATGAACCACACCAGTATGCTTCAAAAGCTGTTCAGCATATTATAAGAGAAGTTCAAGCAATTGGATAAATACACAGTTTAGGAAAAACTGTATTAACAAAAATATGGAGATCCATAAAGTATTTTTCTTTGGGTGCTATGATTAGCAGTGGTAGAATGGGACATTTAACCATTGATCAATCATATATATCGCTATTGGTTTATCTTTTATATATAGCTTCTAGTTCAAGAATTAGAAGCCAATAAAATATAGATTAGGCTTCAATGGCATTGAGTTACATGATCAAAGGAAGCTCTAAATGAAACTTACGTTGTGGATTGAATTGATGTGTGCTTTGGTGTAAGTTATAATACTTCCTCTTCATGATTCCTTTTGGAATCCCAAACAAAATGTTGCAAATTTTGGTACCTGCGATATATAATATATTAGCATCAGAATGTGATGACATCTACATTTGTAGGCATTTGCCCTATAAAGACATGATCGTGGGTGAGAGCAGCCTGCTACAATATAGCAAACTGTAATTCACATAAAGATAGCAGAAGAATGCTTCATAGTTCCTATTATTTTCACTCATGTCTCTAGTTAGAGCTTAGAATTATAACATTCAATCATCAGTTATCTCAGCAAAATAATGATCAACTGGCAGTTATGTTTTGTTCATCAAATCAACAAGTATGGTACACCTCTGTTCCAAAACAAGAATCCCTATTTTAATTTAGCCGTTGCATAATAGAAGACATCATTTCATGATTAGTCTATAGCTCTAGACAGAAAACAGAAAGTAATGAAAAGGAAAACTTATAACTCTACATGAAGAACCCATTTCACCATCAATACCACACCACCGTGATGATTATCATGCCTTTCTTGGCGATAAATTTGCAATTAGAAACATAAACCTTGTACCCATTAAAGTTTCGCCTTCAGCTTTCGGAAAGCAAGGAGAGTAGAATTTACGGATTGTAATTTATATGTGGTGCATAGCCAGCAAGAACAAAAAGAGAGGCAAACACATCTCAGTCCCACAGTTAGTTGGTTGTGCTTTCCTGTGTAACAGATTAAAAGGCCAATGACACAACCATCATCGTCTCCTCTTTTGCTGATACTAGCCATATAAGGGAAAAAAGAATGTTTTCTTTCTACTGTTCCTTTAAAAAGCATGTTCATCTTTTTTCCTTGGTCCATCTATAAAAGTGAGAAATTTCAACAATTAGATGTTGCAACGGTTTGCTTTAAAGAGAGAACAATAAAACATATTGCAGAAGTAAGTAACTCCCAACAAAAAGGATATTTTGTTTCATCAAACACAGAATGTATTTTTTTCTTTTCCCTATTCCCTATGGCATATGAAATCTGCCACATTATATTATTACCCCAAATGGACATTTTAACAACACCACATATAAAGCAGTTATCGATATTTTCAGGTACTAAGTTTCTGTACAAGGAAATCCACCAATTAACAATAACAGAGTTTTTCAATAATTCACTAAGAACACAGAAACAAATAGCAAATACATAATGTCAAGATAGAGTTTAATTAAGCCAAAGACAAAAAATAGTGAACTTACGGACAACAAAATTGCTGCAAAAACAAACACAACGCAGTTTGCTATAAAATCACTTTAACGACTCCAACCATCTTTTGAGTCAAATTGAACCTGAAAAGTCGCAGTTTTTAAGATAGTTGTAACAAAGATGCCGGGCGAACAACACAACCCTGTGAACCAGTGAAGGAACGAAGATGAATAGGAACTGATGATATCTTTTTGACAACCGACAGACAACATAACTGGTATTGAAAAACTAATGCCTGCAAAAAAAATGCGATTGCTACTAATTCACTTCGGTAACTCTTAACGATCTTCCAGCAAAACGCACGTCGAGTTAAAATAAGCCTAAAAGGCAACAGTTTTAAGATACGTAGGTGCGACGATGATGCTGTACGGACATCATAATACGGTGATCCAGTGAATCAACGACGTCTGATAGAAATCCATACCAATTCGTCAATTCCTAATGAAAAACTTACAGATAGCACACTTAATAATGAGAAACTAATTCCTGCAAGAAACAAAACAATTGCTACGATATCACCTCAACAACTCCAAAATCTTCCAGTAAAGCACAAAGTCAAGTCAAATCAAACCTGAAAACCGGCGCTTAATACGCAGGTGCGACGATGATGACGAACGAGCATATGAAATAGAAATTGGTGTTAATTCCTATCGATAAACTTCCAGATAACACAAAAGGTATTGAAAAAGTAATCAATTCCTGCAACAAACAAAATCAATTACTACAAAATCACTTCAACAACTCCAAAATTTAGCAGAAAAACACAAAGCTTATTAAAATTAAACCTGAAACCGACGCTTAATTCACGGATGATGCGGAAAGAACATCAAAATCTAGCGGAATCAGTGATGATAACAGGAATCGATGCTTAAACAGAGAATCAGTGAGTGGGAGGAAAGAGAAAATTGCAGAGAAATCTATGCAACATTTTTATCGTTTTTTGGTCAGTGAATCTCGAGGTTTGGAGTGCATTGTCTACTTTATCTTGCTCATACCTGCATGAAACACACAGATACACGGAGAGAGAAAGTGAGAGCACGAAAATTGAAGAAAAATGTGAGAGGAAAGTCTTTGGGAAAGGAGTAGACTGGTAAATGGGGAAAGGGGACTGTAAAAGGTTAAAAGTTAAAAGTAGGTGGGGTCGTTATGAGTTGATCGGACGGTTCGGATTTGTTGTTTGTTTGTTGTGAGGTCATTAAATGAGATCCTTGACTTTATGGCAAATTTGCTAATTGGGGCTCATAGTTTAAGAAAAATTGCTTTTAGGTCCTTCAAGTTTGTATTTGCTTACGTTAAGAAATTTTGAAGTTATTTTTCCTGCATAGGATATTTTCAACTTATTGTTTCAAAATATCTCCAAAATATGAGAAAGTTAAAAATCAAAATTACAGTTAAATTAATAATTTTTTTTATTTTAGAGATTACGTTAATTAAATTATTAAAATATTTATTATAATAATAAAATATTGTTTTTTTATGTTAAAATTTTTAACTTCAAATACTTTATTGATGAGAATAATATCATTTCTCATTCATAAGGGTATTTCGAATAGATTCTCTTTAATTTCTTTAAAATAAATTATTAAAAATCATAATATCAAAAATTATTATTATTATTATATTTTTGAATAGTAATTATATCTATACTATATTATAAAGCATTTGATAAAAACTCTTAAAAATCATTTTTATGCATAAGTACTATATATTGATGCATATTATTTAAAATTTAAGATTACAAGTAAATTATGCATAAGTACAACTTATTAAAGCTTCATGTTAGAATTCGTGTAACTAACTACAGATAAACATAATCAAATAGAGGATAAACAATTCATTTTAAAATATAAAAAATCTAAAATATAATTAGAATAACTATTGAGTTCTAACAAGAATTATTATCTTTATAAGAAAATCATACTATTAAACCAAATATAAATTACTTCGTTATTGAACCTAAATTAAATTATGAAATAAAAAAATTGAATTAAAAAATTACACAAAAAATATGAATTTCAAAAAGTTAATTTAATACTAATATTGATATATTTTTGAAAAAAATTATGACATCTTTAAATTTATATTTTATTCAAAAATAAAAACATCATCTATTTTTTTTTTAAATCACATAAGACCATACTATAACATCGATTGAGATAAAGAATAGAATGAAATATTAAAATCAAGATGTATCTCGCTGTATTGCGTGAGTACTCTTCTAGTCATTTAAAAGATAAGATTTTCTACTAGTTTGAAAAACTGATTAATTTTTATTTGTTTATCAAAATAATTATTTTAACTCTAAAATTCATAAATTAAATTAGTCAAAATTACAAAAACCGATTATTTTCTAATTTCTAATTGAAGTCATAAAACTAAGGATGCCCATTATCAAGTGGGATTCTCTTATAATGTGCATTAAAAAACTCAAATGTAGTAACCCACAAATAAACATTTAATTGCATTATGAAAGTAAATATTTATTTTGATTTTAAAATAGAATTTTATTATGATTAAACTAAATTTTAACAGATATTAAAGAAACACGTTTTTGACAGTATTAACCAGCCTGGCAAGATTACTTTTACACGGTTTATGCTCATAACTTTTTAAATACAATCATGTGATCAGCACATATTATGTTAACAATTATGATAGAACGTGTTTTTAATGATACAGACCTAAAACTATGTATGGACATCTTTAATAAAAAAAATTAATGTAAAACTTAATGCAAATAATAATTATTCTTCAATACATAACATTATCCGTTCTTGGTTATGTTTTTGATTTTTTTTTTAATTAACCTGGATATCCAACCCGCTATGCGAACCGACTAATCTCAGGGCGACCACATGTTTTGCAAATAGCTCGGAGTCACCGCATTTGAACCTTCGTTGCCACAAGAAGATTTTTATTCATCCTTGGATTTGAACCTGGGCCTCTTGATACTTTTGACTTTTGAAGCCAAACTCAAATCATTCAGACACCACCCTTGTGGTTGGTTATGTTTTGGTATTAAAAGTATATATGTTAGCCATGTGTTTTGATTATATGTTATGTGATTTAAATTATCTAAAAATTAATCAATGTTTAAATTAAGTTGAATGCATAAAAATTAAATTTATTAAAAACATAAAAATGAATAGAATGCAAGCGTTGTCAAAATCCTTATGGTCATGGAGGTTAATAGGTAATAATTCTAAGTCATTTGTGGTCGGTTGAAGGATTAGTCGGTGTGGATGAATTAATCCAGAAATTAACGATTACCAAAAAAAAATATTTATAATATAATATAAGTAACATGTAAAACTGTTAAATTATAAACTTATAAAGTAAATGTATATACATCTTAAACTTAAATAACAATTTTGCAATTACGAAAATTTAACAAAAATATGATATAATAAATAATGTTGTACCAAATTTGATGTTTTTATAATTAATAATACCAAAATAGTATTAGAAATGGATGTCCATGATGACCACTTTGGTGTCAAAACTGTAATTTGGTATAACATTTGAAATGCCTTTGGATGCTCTTATTTAGGGTTGATCAAAAACCCGACCAACCTGATCAATTCAACTCAACCTAACGTGAAATAATTTAACATGAAGCAACTCGATGTCTAGTCGAGTTGTAAAATTGTCAAACCGTAGGTATTGAGTTGATATTGGGTTACTATTAGTTCAACCTAACTCAATCCGATGAACCAGATTTCATTTTATTTCTTGGATTTAATATGATTGTTGAATTTCTATTAATATATACATTAGACAGTTACACTATCATGTATGTTCTTATACACATATTTTCAATCTATTCACATCTATATATAACTCATTCGTATATATGTTCAGTAACTGTGAACATATATATGTAAATTGACAAAATTAACTGAATGTGATTTGAATGAAATTGGATTCCATTATTTAAAAATAATTAAATTACATTTTTATTAATTGATTATTACAAATGTTTTTAACAATTTTTAAAACCCTATTTTATACAATCTTACGAAATCCTATGAAATCCCGAGCACCCCTAAGGAGTTCAAAATCCTATGGTTGTAGGATTTCAATTAAATCTTAGGATTTCAAATCCGGACAATCCAACAAACCAATCCAAACATGAGATTAAAATGGATTTGAAATCCAAATCCCCTGAAATCCATTTCATTCATACAAATCAAACGGGACATTAGATCCCATTTGATTTGTAGAAATTTAATAGATTTGGATTTCAAATCAATTTCAATCTTATGTTTGGTTTATTGGATTGACCTGATTTGAAATCCTAAGATTTAATTGGAATCCTACAAACATAGGATTTAGAAATCTTTAGAGGGTGTTTGGAATTTCACGGGATTTCTTAGGATTGTATGCAATAAAGTTATAAAAAATGCTAAAGATATTTGTTTTGTAATAATCGATTAATAAAAATGTAATTTAATTATTTTTATTATTTTCTTTTATAAAGTATTTATAAATAATGGAATTCAATTCCATTCCAAATCCAACAAACCAAACACATTAATAATTTCAAATCCATTCCAATCCAAATCCCTCCATGAAATCCAAATCCCTCAAAACAATCCTTCAAACCAAACGGATCCTTAGTTCCTATCCTCATCGATAATAACATTCCATCCAGCGGGGTACGGGATCCCTATCGGGAAATCAAGGATTTTTCCTTGTCTCACTACAACGAAATCTAGTTTATGAGACACCAAAAATATAAAGTTATCTTACAAGACTATTTTATAGGACTTAGGGCAAACAAATGTGTCATATGTACGAGGGTTGCAAATAAGTTTCTATGACTTATTTTTAGTGTTGTAAGAAGATTTTTATGATACTTATAAAATAAAATGTCATATTAGTTTTTTACATGACACTTTTGAGAAATGTATTGTAAACATATGTACTCTAACACATGTAATCTTGTTGTTACTATTAAATAGAAACAGTCGAAGAATAGCCACGAAAACCGTTGAAGAACAACCGAGAAATTGTCAGAAAATAGTCGGGGGAACGATCAGTGGAAGGTCGGGGAACGTCTGGAACATCGTGCAGCAAAACAAAAACATGTGCGACTTGGCTTGCAATATGAGGTCGCGGCCAAGGTTGCGGGAACCCCTTTGGTCGACTTTTTAACCCAAATTTCTAGGATTTCTTCCCCCTCCCCATTTCTCTCTCATTGCGGGGCGATTTTTTGGAACTTTGCGGACGTTTTTTGGGAGCAAATGTAGGTTCATCATGGAGATTGAAGATTTCATGGTGGTTGATTTCGAGATCTTCATGAGATAAGTTATTGGTGTATTCAACATCATTTTAGGGATTATGTGGATCTAAAGTTTATGCTTATATTTGTTTTATTTCTAGTCTTGGAGTTGGGTTTTGAGAGGATTATTGGGGATATCTACTGGTGGATCTCAAATCTTCATTTTGGAAGTTAGAGATGAGTTTGGAAACTATGTTTAATTTAACCTAGCAATGTCTGTTTCAAGTTACTTTGTGAAAACGTTATATATGTCAAAAACATCATTCTTTTGCTTTTATGGAGTTTTAATACCTAACGAGTTGTTTGATTAACCTTTTGAGCATTGAGTTTGTATTAGATAAATGTTTGGAAAACACATATCATTTGATTTATTTCACTCCCTTAAATTACAAATCATAGGGTTTCTGATTGTTTGATGAGTTTGAACTACAAACCAAAGTTTGTGTGATTTTCACAACTAATCAATTGACTTTTTGGACAATATATATATATATATATATATATATAGGCACAAACATTTAGGAAATATGTACTTTGAAGTAACTGCATTTTTAAGAGTAAATTCCATAGATTTGTGGTTCTTTGTTGATTTAAAACCGTTTAAGATGTCATGATTGAGATTTGTCCAACTTTGAATAGTTTGTTGTTTACTTGAATAGTCAATGCTCAAATTTAGTTTGTGTGACATCTTTGAGATACAATTCATGTGAATATGATTTTGTTGATTTTCA